TCTTGAGAGAAGCCGAGCACTTAGTAAGTTTGCAGGGGCCCGTGCAACACGGGAGAAGAGGAGAGATATCGCTAAGTCCCTTCGCAAGTTTTTGTTCGCTTGGCGGGGTGCTTTCTTTTTCTTATTTTTGCAGGCTGAAGTTTCTCGAGGGGAGCAAATTTTATATGTTAGATACTTTACTGTCAGTGAGGATACAACAAAACCCATTTTCTTAGTATTTTGAGTCATATATTAAAGTATAATTCCCAAATTATTGTGAGAAACGTTTGTAGTCATTGACCTACAGGGGGCCCCTTAAAGATGTAAAGAATTTTCTTACCACAAAAATAAACTACGCATCTTCGAACGCTTATTCTCCGCGCAAAGGCAGCGTTTGAGGCCCGAACCAGGTGTCAAAGTTTCAGAACTAACAGATATCTTATTCAAAAGTTATAAGTGATTTGCTGAAATTTTCAATAGGAAAATGTGGCCCATTTTAGCCCGTTTTCGGTTTCTGGCACCATAGAGCCCCAAGCATTGTAGAGCTCTGTCGGCCATAATTTTCCCATCGACTTTTTAAGAAAAGTATTTATAACTTTTGAATAACATATCGGTTCGTGCTAATACTTTGACATCTGCTTCTGACCATAGCGCTACTTTTGGGCGGAGAATGAGCTTTGAGCGATGCCTTTTTTTTGTTGTTTTTTTCGTGGTGAAAAAAAATCCATTAACATTTTTGTTTGGGGGAGGGGGGGGCACACCCTGTATTGTGTTTTATACAAAAGTCGGTCATTAGATGCTTTAAAAAAAAAAGAAGTTCTATTTAAGGATTATTTGTGTGGCCAGACAACCAGTTACGGATTAAGATGGCTCAAGTGTTTTCTTTCCAACCGTTATCTTTATCATCTTAATACATGTATATAGTCATTTCTAAAATTAAGAATATCATGCCCTCACCTCCCACTCTACTCTACGGTATTTTGCTAGAAATACTCATGTTGATCTATCGGAGAGTTCCAGAGAGCATATGAACATTGAGTTTGCCGTGTTTGTATTTATGATACCGTTTGTAGTGAAGCAAATATAAACTAAATAATGTAAACCGGCCAGCCTAAATAACAAGAATAATTTCTTTTTTTTTTTTTTGTAATTTCAACGAGTACTTCAAATACCCCTTGAACTTGAACTCACAGACACATCTAAATATTATAGCGTGCTAAAAACAAATTGGCTTCAAAATAATATGAGATAATGTACCCGCACTGTTCATTGAGTCCTGCGACCTTAACCGGTTCATACATTGGTTTTTAATGTTTAGTTTCACGCAGTCCATTGTGTCTTGGTGCTCCACCGAATCTTTCGTCAAGTGTCAAACAGCGGGGGGACCTTGAAAATCAACAATAGTAGATATTCATTTACATAATTAAGTGACAAATAGAATAAAATTAAACTTGAACTTTGAGTAATTGTGCCTTGAATGTTTTGCAATGTACAATACATCATAAAAATGGGGTAAGTAAAATTCCTTGCTGGTGCCTTGTTCTAGGTTCGAAAGACTAATTATTTCTGGATAGCTCGCGTACTATTTTTCGCCAGTAAATGCTGACGAAGGTGTTTATTAAATATTTCCCTGAAATGTAAGTTGTCGACTGTTTCAAACGAGAGTAGTGTAACAGAATATTACAATGGGAGAGGTACGTGTTACATTGACATAACTACGGTGTTGTTAATATTCTTAGCATAATAGTAAAATTTACAATTTCAGGAAGAGCTTGCGCCATAGGTTAAGCTCTAAATAGGCGCGAAAATTGGCAGCGTGTTTGTGTTCTTCATTACTCTTATTACAGTGTTGTACTGAATATCCTTATCATGTACAGTGCTTTAGGCTTGTTTTGCCAAAACATTCGAAAACCTTAGGTGGTATTTATGTGATATTGTTTTGGTTCTTCCACTAAGAACTCGACTGAATAAGATGGCCATTGCGGAGGCCCCAGTTGTTTTTCAAATATTCAGACAAGTTTTCCAAACGGGAAATAGAAGTGAGGGACCTCTTGCAAAAACGCCCTTTAGCCTCGGGACGAGCTCCAATTTTCGAAATTGCAACAATCTTCAATTTGAATAAACAATGAAAAAAAAATGCGGTTCAAGCCAGAATTGTAAAATTAAAATACAAATATCTATTAGAAATATGAACATACGATAAAGTTCGTGTGAATGGGCACCATAGGAAGCGCGTAAAGAGGACCACACCAGGAAATAAATTAGCACTATTAAGACGAATGGACGTCTTTTTTAAGAGAAAACGTTGCTGCGCTACATGTAACTCTTAGCACCGCTGAGAAGAGAGCTGCAGTGACCCGAATACGTTTTCCGGACATTGTGGATCCGACAAAACTAAACCGGAAGACCGTGCAGCAAAATGTACGTTTGTCATGCGGACCACCAAGTGTATGGAAGGAAGTCCTGGTCGTTTTTCCCTGGCCAAGCACGTTTAGCGTGAAGTGTTGGAAGTCTTGTAATCGTCTTGAGAAACTCTAGCGTGCCACCATTCACCTAAATGTTTCCACGGTTGTCACAACTGGAACAGATTGCTTACTCACGTTTAATTGCTGTTAGTTTTAACACATTCCTTTCAAATAGGAGAAAAAAATTGGCAATATCCTGGAGTTTATTATGTTCATTGCATCAGAATGAAGCCACTATTATAACTATGTCGCGATTCTTGTTATGCTAATTAATTGTGTTTTTTTTCTCTCGAGCCTTTAAACATATTTTAGAGGTTTTGATTTGCGCAACCAGAAACACTGTGTTGGGTAAAGTAAGCGGTGTCTCAATCTGCGGCTAGGCTCTTTAAATCGACCGGAAAAAATCGGTTTCTGAACCTATCGTGCTACGATCTTGTGCAGCGTTGCCCACAGGTGGCACATTCCTTCTATACGATTTGCAAAGAGCGAACTTACCTGAGCAAAAAGTAAAAAAAAAAAAGGCTCAACTTCTATGGAAACGCAGCGAAACCACGGGTCTTCAAACAGTAGGGCGCCGTCGGGCACGGGACACTAGAAATGGCGCAAGCGGTCGCGACGCCAACTGCCGCCAACGGAGGAGCAATCGGTGCCAAGAGCCGGCGTCAAATAGCAGACGATATTATCGACTGAAAAGCGGCGCGAGCTTTTTCGATGTCAGTTGCAAATGCATGATTTCATCATCTTTACTAATAAAACACATTGAATGGGCACATAAGCGATTAAAAAATAGTTTGTCGGGTTATTTTGACCTTTTTTGGGGGTTACTTATGTCGTCTACTTCGCAGTTCATTGTTTCCGCGCCTGTTTTTGGTTCTGAGATTGTCGCCGCCTGCGGAACGTGTGCCACTTTTGAGTCGAAAAGATCGTCTACTAATGACGCCGGCTCTCGGCGCCGTATGCTCGTTCGTTGGTGGCAGTTGGCGTCGCGACCGCTTGCGCCATCTCTTGTCTCCCGTGCCAAACGGCGCAATATTATTTGAAGACCAGTGGCTTCGCTGGGTTTCCATAAGAGTTAAGCCTTTTTCTTTTTTACTTTTCCGAGATAGGTTCACTCTTTACAAATTTTATAAAAAAAATTCACCACCTGTGGGCAACGTTGCACAAAATTTTAGCGCGATAGGTTAAGAAACCGTATTTTTTGGTCAATTTAAAGCGCCCGGCCGCTGTTTGAGACACCCTGTTGAACAAATGTGTGCGTATAAACCAGTCGGACGTGTTAGACAAAGTGAGGCTGATTCTCCTCTGACTAAAAGGGGAGGGCAAAGGCTGGTGGAACATAACACATGGCGACGATGTACAAAAAAGTTGACGTAATCAGCCATCTAAAAATACCGAAAACATTTGTTTTACGCTGACTAAAGTTCCTTTATTAGGTGGAATGTCCAACTCTATTACATATAAAAACAAACATGCGAATATGTCGTGTGTGTCAGTCACACAAACAATAAGTGTATTAGATATGATAACAAACAAAATATGTGAGTTGTAAATGTGTGTTCAATGACGAAAAGCGACATTGTGCTAGAAAAATTGTAATTCCTTTAGAAAAATGCAGATTATGTTTTTATTATATCTATTTCCAAAAGGGAGTACACTCCAAACACGGAGTCGTTTCACACCCAATTTCCCTTAAGAGAAACTAACTACAACTTAAGACGTGTGGATTATGCTAGAGGTCACACACGCACGAGCTATGGTGAACAAACATTAACACAGCAAATTCCCCAACTTCTAAACATGCATCCTCAAATTTTGGAAATAGCTGAAGCAGTAAATTCAATAGATACGTTCAAAAAAAGAATAAAGGATTATATTTTGAAGCTTGAATAATATATTGGATACAAATGTGTAAACAACCTTGTTTTTTTGTGTTGTATTTTTTTTTGTTTGTTTTTGTTTTTTATTGTTTTTATCTGTGTTGCCGCTCTGAAACCTGTATGGGGCTCGGGACCTTGGTCAGGTGCTATTAAGCACCTTTTGTCCCTGCTACCCCACTTCAAAATGGTTAATAAATGAAATGAAATGAACAAAGCCCGTGGTCTACTTTCCCGCACAACACTCAGAGAGCCAATCAGCACAACTTACGGAGGTAGCTCAGCGAATGACGATGCCGAAACATGTTTAGACCTAAAAACGCACTCTGAGCTGCGACATTAAGCACTGCAAAACGTCACGCTTGCATTGCTTAATATCTCAACTCAGACTGTGTTTTTTGGTCTAAACATATGTTTCGGCATCGTCATTCTCTGAGCTGCTTCCGTAAGTTGCGCCGATTGGCTCTCCAAAAGTTGTGCGGGAGAGTAGACGCATAGGCTTTTTTAGAGTACGGTTATTTCAGGAAAATCGAAGAAAGTGCTGGCTCTTACATTTTAAAATAAAATGATTAATTGTTCATATAATCACTTGAATCCAGTTTAGCAATATTCTACAACTTTTAAGACAATCTTCAATAACAATCAAGTTGTTTGATTTTTTTTTATGTTTCTTGTATTACAGTGCTGCTGCAGACAATGTGTGGCTTAGCCCAGATTCACGACAAAGACAGAATCTTCAGGTTCTGGCTGGGGTTCAGACCTGTCGTGGCTTTCTTCAAGGCAGAAACAGTAGAGGTGAGTGAATATTAACTATATAGACCTGAGTAGTATAATAAAAAAAAACGGACAGAATATTTATTAGCCTCCTCGGCTTTTTCTTTTTTATATTACCTTTCTTCACAGAAACAACACCCTTTAAGATCGTAAATAGGAACATAAAACTGCAGCTATCTGTTTGTCAATTGGGCCAGTTGCATCTCACATGAGAAGTGTCGTATATAAAGAAGTTCCTATTTCAACAATATTGGGCGACGGGTATTAACATAAAAACAAAAATTAAAACTCAATTTTGAAGTATTTATACAGCGACTCGATGGTTAAGTTATTGCCACGATACCCAATGTTTGGCTCCATTCTATGGTACTAAATTTATAAATATATCTTTAGAATATTTTACGATAGAAACATACTAGAAGTTCCTTGAAGGCAAGCATCCCGCAGAAATTTTATTTGCACGTTCAGTGCACTGCACTGAGGGGCGAGGTAAGGGTACGCTAAAAAAAGGCCGTGCGTTTACTTTCCTGCACAACACTCGGAGAGCCAATTACCGCAACTTACGGAGGCAACTCAGCCAGTGACGATGTGGAAACATATGTTTAGACCAAAAAACGCAGCCTGAGTTGGACATTAAGCAATGCAAAAAGCCACGCTTGCATTGCTTAATGTCACAACTCAGGCTGCATTTTTTTTTTTTTTTGGTCTAAACCAACGTTATTAAAACACTCAGTTGGGAAACTCGCCGTCGAAACCTGGGCCGCTGGCGTCCACCGAGACCGAGCTAAATACGACAACAGCGCCACTCTTTGTCATTTCTCTGTACTGTGGTCACCTTGAGCTTTTTAAAAGCCTGTTTTTGCGTAAAAACAAACGGAAAAGACTCGTTTTGTATGAAATTTATTGGAGTTTAGTACAAAAAGAGGGGCGCCTTATGTTTTTAAAATCTTTAGTTCGCAGGCTTTTGCGGCACAATTAATATTGTTTTTATACAACCATGCCTCAGCGGGGCTTTCAATAGCGCGCCCCGACCTAGGTGCATTTGAACTTCGGTAGTTCGACGCGGCGCGTCCGCCGGGGAGACGGGGGTGGCACCGCTGTAACCTCTTTCGTTGTATCTGTTCTTAGAGCCAAAATAGAAGTCACGTACAGTTCCTCGAGTGGCCGCTGCGGGAGAAATGGTGGCGTTGTGTTCGTCATTAGCTTGGTGCTCGGAGACAGATTGGGGCTACTTTTTCAAAGCTGTCTCTACGGGAGTTTCCCAAATGAGTGTTTTAGTAACGTTGGTCTAAACATACGTTTCGACATCGTCATTCGCTGGGCTGCCTCTGTAAGTTGCGGGGATTGGCTCTCCAAGAGTTGTGAGAAAAAGTAGACGCAAAGGCTTTTTATAAAGTGTAGTTTGTAGAATGTCGTACAGCATGAATGTCATTTTCTAAGACAATCGTTATTTTTATGCTCGGGTGTTTTCATGAGAGCAAGGTTTTCAGTTGTATTCACAATATACGTTATGAAGTCTTAGCCGAAGAACTTTCAGTGTGAAAAATTTCCTCCGTGAACTCTTCGCGAGTTTGACAGCATGCTCATTATAGCTTATCGTTTACACTTTAATAAAAACACTATTAAAGGCAAGCTGAAGAGGTCCTTGAATTCGAAGAGTAAAAGTTGTAATGTTGCAGACACCTTAAAAATGATCTTACTTAAGTTTTCTTTCGATATCATTAGTAGGAGTGTCGTATTAGCCAATCAAAATTTAGATGTAGACCCGCCCGTTGCGGCTCGGCGACGGTAGCGAATCGCGAGAATGGAGAGACAAAAACTAGCAAAAGTGACGTCATAATCGGGGTCACATGACCATTGCTCGCCACTAAGCTGACTCGGGGGTTCTGACGATGACGGCCCGACGCTCCGGACAAATAACAGGCGGCAGAGAGGATCGCCGCATGCCCGGTGGCAATCGCTGCACGTATTTTTCAAAATAAATGCGGTTTAAGTTTACTACTGCCCAGGAGAAGTGCGATAACTAAATTCACCTGACAAAAAGCTATAGAAGTCCTCTCCTAACTCAAGTTTGTTTGAAAAGTGATTCAGCTTCCCTTTATGTAAAATTCAATGCAGAAGAGTTGAGGCAGCGGCCTACAAGTATCCCTTTTACGGGTTTTAAAATTTGCAATGCTGACAATAGGGAATGGTTAGCGCGAGCCACTCTATTGGTAGTTTTAGGATAGGCAAAAAGTACAGATTATCAAATGCTTTCTGATTGCCAATTAGGTGCATAAATATCACTCTCAAAACAATTTCTAGATCAAATATATTTTTGTTCTTCTTTTGTGCCTTTAATTTTAATGTCTTGTTCTTTAATAATAAGTTGAATTTTTTTGTAATATGCAAAGTGTGAAATTTTAAATCTAAAATATTTAAAAAACGGGATAAGAGTGATAAAGATGCTGTCTTCGCCATGTGCTTATCAGGCATGGGCGGATGTTTGATGTGGGAATAATCGTCATGTTAAATTGGAAAATTAACTAATATGGGTTATTAACTTTTCGATCAAAGGTTTTAGAGGTTTGGTTGCAACTGCTGCACTGATGGCGATTGATATTAAAGGCAAGGCGAATTACAAGAATTTGTGAAAATGTAATAGTATGAATGTTTTATGTTTTAGTCCAATTTAAAAATTCCGTGCAAAAGAAGCGCCCCAAGTCCTGCCCGCAATGATATTTAAAAGAGTGACGTGGTCGTTTCTGTCACGTCTTTACTTGACGTCAGCGCACCCATTAAGAACATGCCGTTAACGTTAGTAGATTAGCTTGGTTCTGGAACTCTCGCGGAGGGGAACCCCCCCTCCCTTTCAGTACGCCTCCGGTTGTTTTGAAGCGCCATCTAGATTTTCGTTTCAAAACTGTGTATTGTATATAGTACGGTCGAAATCCATCTAGAAGCTGTAAAAACATATGTAATTCATAGATAACACTGCAGTTACCATAGCAGCCGACCCCAAAATGGTGGTGCGTCGAACGACGGGAGGCGGGCGATGGGGTTAGAGGGGGGAGGGGGGGGGGGGTTAATGCTTGTGGTAGCAGCAGCGTCTATGGACAGTTCCGTAACTGAGGTAATCTATAATCCTTTTCAGCATAAGTCCAGATATGTCAAGGTGGGGTGGAGAGAAGGTATTGTATAGTGACTGAATCCGTGGGAGAGGTAAGGTATTACATGGCGAGCGAATGGAATATGAAAGTTAACTTTCGCAAGGAGTTGCGCCGAATCAACGACGCCGTTTGCCACCTTGTGCAGAAAAGTTAAATCTCGAACAGTCTTACTTTATGTTTGGTCAGCAATTATAGAAGACGTACAGTGCTAATCACACTTGTCTATAACGCGCGAGCGTGCGGCTTTCTCCGGGGAGCGCTAGACTGGTGGCATTCGCGGAAACTAAGCTAGTCACGTGGCGCAACATGGAACGGCCTGCTCCAGGGGTGTCCCGCCCACTCTATCAGCTTGATAAGCGATAAAGGTAACGTGCTTTACGATATATTTTTGTTTTTTGATGACGACATCGTTGATACGCCTTCATGCTTTAGTGTGTTTATTGTTCGAGCCATGATGTTTGTAAAAAGCGTGCGAGCGGCCTTCCGCGTTCGCCGCCAGCTGATAGAGTGGGCAGGACACCCCTCGAGCGGGCCCGTTCCATGTTGCGCCACGTGACTACCTTAGTTTCCGCGAATGCCACCAGTCTAGCGCTCCCTGGAGAAAGCCGCACGCTCGCGCGTTATAGACAAGTGTGATTAGCACTGTACAAAAACATGACGAGCATGTTATGCTTTTCACGCGGTATGATTGTTCCCATCAGGTCGTAGTGTCGGCTGCGTGTTTACTTATGGTGAAACCAAGTATAGTAGCATTGCACGCTGTCGACATAGTGGTGACATTATTCAAACGATTATGTCACTTACTCTTCCAAGCGTCATTGTGGGGCAAGTCTCGCGGAGCTTTTGCGCGTAATTTATAAATCGAACTGAAAAATGTCAAAATTTATAAATATATATCTAAAACACTATCACATTTTTTTTCAAATTAGTTTCGTTGGTCTGACCCCTAATAGCCATTGCCGTCGATGATGTAAGTGCAACGTGACCCCTAAAATCAATTATTAAAATCCTAATTAGCGAGTTTATTATTCAACTGACCATGACGATTATCAACTCATCCAATGTCCACCGAGCCTAATAAACACACAATAAAGACAGCTCCAGCCCCCTTTCTGTATATGTGACGAGTGAACACTCTGGATATGTGACGAGTTATTACTGTTTCCTTCCCAAGTCAAGTGCTGAATTTATTTTCATCAGGTTATACATCAACAAAACGTCATTTAATGGGATATTGCGAAAATAGAGCGTGTTTATGTTATTCCCTGCGTGGTGCCGACTGAGCACTACTAAACACAGAAATATACTACCACTGGAATATACTCCAGCGGTAGTATAGTTTTGTGTTTATTAGTGCTCAGCTGGCACCACCCAAAAATATGAACTTACTAGCTCAGCTCCGACCAGTAGTAGTTTCTGAGTAAATTTATAAACATATTTATCGAATCATTCTCTTCCCACTCTTCGCACAAATATTCACTCCATGGAGTTTGCAAAAGATGGAAATACAAACAAATTATTCCAAAACAAGACGTCCCAAAACAAGCTTTTTTAAATTTATAAGTGCATTGTCAACTATGATCTCTCAATAACATTAAGAGAATGATTTAAGATAAGGTTGCACCAGAGAGAGTAAATGTTTTTCACTTATAAACTGAGCATCGCACCTTAAAAACAAAAACACTCGAATAGAAATTTCATGGTTAATCACTGGGAAAACTATTTTAAAATATTACGGCATATTGTTCCGCTACTAAGCAACAATTTGGCAAGCATAGTACTCCAAATAATTAAACAAAAGGCATCCGAAACAAAATTTGTCATATAAGTATGAGCAATGGGCACTGAACTCTTCATATTCGTGTTGCAATGCGAAATTTAGTTGCATGATGTGCGGAGCTTTGGTGGCCGAGTACCGGCTTGTACTTATAATGTGTTTCTTTTTCAGTGAATGTGCACATGTGTATATTGACCCGATGTATTTTTACCCTTGCAGGTCATATTAAGTAGTAATACAGTTTTAGACAAGTCTTTCGACTACACATTATTACACCCCTGGTTGGGCACCGGTTTATTAACGAGGTGAGACGAATGCTTTATAGTCATACCTTCTTTAATATTATCTTTGTGAAATATTTGAGTTAACAATGATCACACCCTGACGAGAGAATGTTTATTGCGCTTTGTGTCGTTTTCAGTGATGTGATTGGCCCGAGTCACTTTGTAGCACCTTTTGGAGCAGCCAAAGGTCCATTATGGAGCAGCAAGAAGTACTTTTGAAGCACAAGCACACGCTTCATTTTTATTCATACCACTGTGAATGTTATAAGTTAAGATTCGTGTGGTGGCTTATCCAACTAAACAAAACGCCTAATTTGCACGCTTCTGTGCAACGACAGGTTTGATTCCCTTAAACACAGAACCAGCTGTTTAGTTGCACATAGTAGTGTAACGGGAGCGTGCTCTACCAGTCAGCCAACCTTGTGTCTGGCAACCGGGTGCCAGCAGAATCTATACAAGTCGCCATAATAAAAGGCGAGGCCTAGTTGACCTCTCGGAACCCAGCTGTGCGAACCTTCTTCACGCGCTGATACAAGAAGCACTAGGTATGGCAACACGATGCTGATCAATGAAGGGCACTTGGACCGCAGTGAATATCACTTTAGGTACGAAATGAAATGTAGACCAAATAGTATATTCCACTGAAATAATGTTACAAAAATATTGAGCCCACAACGAGATGTTTTCTTCTTTTTTTTCAAATTCTAACGATTCTAATAAAAAGATATTAATTCAGATTTAAAATAAAAAAGGTTTTGTAACTGAATTTTAAACATCAATGACATTTTGTGTGCATAACTTCATAATAACAAAAATCGGCATGTTAACTGTAGGCATGCCTTTTTACAACGATCCAGCCAATGTCGTTATGGTTATTCCCAATCTTCCTGCCACTTCTTCAACTAATTTAGTCGTAAATAATTCTATTGACTGTACTATCGTGGACACTGTTAGCTATAACACGGCAGCGGCGGCCGTCCCGTACCCCCCGCACCTCTTAGCAGGCGCCGTCCGAAACCCCGCGCATGCGCCGTGTGGCGGACTCGCTCTTCCCGCCTGCGAGCACACCCTCACTTTGTCGTCTGCTAGGCACAGAGCAGGCGACGCCACAGTACTTGCCAATTTTCCCTGAACACGGTTCAGCAAACCACCGCGTAAGAGGTGTCCGCGGTTGATTCCCTGACTCCGCTGGCTAAGGATAATCATCGCCCCTAATTGTAATATCACGGTAGACTACTTTTTTCTTTTTCTTAGGACAAACTTGCAGTTATACTCCGTTTCACTTTAGGTCGAAGCGCAGCGAACGTTACGAGACGATAGGGCCAACCAAAAGCAACAAAAGCTCACTTTTTGCACCTTATTGTGTCCCCCGGTGATGCACTTCGTGAGATTGCACCTTTGCGCTATTTGATTGGCTATGTCGTGTTGCAGCGTACGCTGCATTCGGACTTTAGGTGAAACGGAGTATAAGTCTATTTCTGTATCACACCTGCTGCGATCATACTGGTTTGCGAGCGCATATTGTGAAAGATGCATTGCAAAATCCTGTTCCTGAAAAAGCAAAAAAACAAACAAAAAACATAGACAGGGGTATAGCCCCAATGACTCTGCAATCTCCCCCAATCGAAATCGCTGGTTTAAAATAAGTTTGAGACCAGTTCGCAAGGGCCAGGGTACCAGACGAGCAGCACTGTGGCATCGCCTGCTCTGCGCCTAGCAGACGACAAAGCGAGGGTGTGCTCGCAAACGGGAAAAGCGAGTCCGCCACACGGCGCATGCGCGGAGTTTCGGACGGCGCCTGCTATGAGGCGCTGGGGGTACGGGACGGCCGCTGCTGCGGTGTTATAGCTAACAGTGTCCATGATAGTACCTGGAACGCAAAAAACAAACCATATAAAGATGACAACTAAACAAGAGAGTTAACATTAAGATAGACCTATAGAGCAGTTCATATAAATCTTCTGCGAGTACCCTTGCTAAATCTTGAAGTTCAAAAAAGGATATTTCCAGAATACTGGAGTCTACCATAAGGATTAGCCGCAGTTTTATTGATACATTTTTACTCTAGGTGCTGTTACATTAACACTCACAAAGTTCCTTTCTTAAAATATATATATATATATATATACACCCGACGTCTCTCTCGGGTGCGCAGCCGCGAAGCAAAATAAGCAAAATCGGGATGCTTACTTCGTGGTTCTCACTTCACTGCAATACAAAAATAGAGCGGAGAGAAGCGCACTCAACACAGGAAACTTACCCGCCAGAGCAGACTACGAACATAAGAAGTATCGCGAAAATTCCGAGTACTGTCAGTGTTTGACACTGACAGAGAGAACAAATAGGTTAGTACGTTATTAGCGGCTATAATAGGAAGTGCTTAAAATTCGCACATGCCTACCATAACGATCCGGATGTGTAGCGCGGCCTGAGCCATTGTGTTTACAGTATTATTAAAGGGACACTGACAGGGTATTTATGCTCGCCGAGGTTTTTAGTTGTACGTGACATATGAGAGCTCAACTACCCAGAACAGAATTTGCGGCTCGAAATTCGGTTTCTTTCCGCCCGAAAACTGCCGATCAAGAACTGGCCGGTTCGAGTCTCGCTCACTCTCTTTTCCGCGGTCACGGGCCGTTTTCTAAGGTATCGATGCGACCACCAAATTTAATCAAAGTCGTAGGTCACTGAAGGCACACACTCAATATTAAAAATATAAAAAAATATAAAACCCATTTTTTGTGGCTTCTAAAAAGCTGCAAATACGTTGATTGAAAAAAAAGTTCCACAGACAACCGGAAGCATTCTGTGCGTGCGTCGTTTCGCGTATCGTGGGACTCGCAGGGACGGCGATGGCAGCGGACGACGGGCGTGGGACCTCTATTTCAGAACTGTCGTTCGCGGTACCGGCGAATTTTGTCTGCCTTTAAAAGAGAAATTTGGGACTGGTCAAAAGAATTGGTATTTATCCCGTACGACACGCCCGACCACCAAGCCGATTTGCACGAAGACGTCGCCGAGCCGTCGCTCCCTTCTCGTGGCTGAAGACATCGCTCGCGCAAACGTCAAGCGCGACGTGTCTACTTCGAGTGGAATATGCACGCGTACGATTTCTTTACTAGGTGAGAATGTCGCGAATGCGTGGTGCATCCCGACTTCGACCCGGGAGTGCTTTTGCTAGAGGAAAATCGGCAGCAAACTTTTCAACTTACAGTTTATCGGCTAAATTATTACTAAGGAAAGAGATACCCCATTTCGATATGCCCCAGTAGCTCAGTGGGAAAGATGTCCCCTTCACACGCGGTAGAGCCTGGTTCGATCCCCCGTGAAACCCTTTTTTTTTTTTTTTTCTCTCTCTAAATACTTTTGATGTCTACATTTCTTTTTTTTTTTTTTTTTTACAATTATTACTGAAGAAACAAAAACAAAAAATAAGAAACACATTTTGTGGACGACACGTCGCTGAATTAAATGGTATGGGATTTCCTTTTTGACACCTGCGAACTCAATGTAATCACTTTCCACAAAATGCAAGGAGCATATAAATCAGGTACCGTCCGCTTCCCGAGGTGCCCGTAAATGGTCTACAGGAATTGCAGCCAGCCATTGGTCCCGATCCCGTTGATCTTTCGGAAACTCTGTCGCACAATGCCACTTCTGTTTCGGACGCGGGACATGTGAGCCAGCTCTTCACGCAACACCTTGGGTGTATTCTTTTCGGAGCCGATCAAAATTCACCACGGGCACTCACTACTCATCTCCAACTCCTCAATGTACAAAACAACTCATCTTGGAGTACAGAACAACGAGCGGAACAAACATAACTGCAAAAGAATCCCACGGCGAGCAGTTCCCATACGCCGCATGTCGTCTGCTACCGGGAAGGAGAAAAAAAAAACAGAAAAAAAAAAACACACGGTCGGGTGCAGCCACGTGACTTCCGCCACTCCACTCTCTTCTCTCCACTTCTCCGACCTCCGTCAGGTTTCGGTTTCGAGCAGTTGCGTCTTTTGGCTTTATTAAAAAAATACGGTACTCTGTTGCAAAATATTAATTGGGTAGTCCTCCGACACCATAATGAAGCGCCTGGCAAAAAATTAAAAATAAATATTGGGGGGTGTCAGTGTCCCTTTAAGTGAAATCAAGTTTTGGCGCAAGAAGGTTCGCACAAATTCCTCACATTTGGGCTAAAAGCAGCAGGATGTAGCAGAGTAAGCCCTTTGGCGCAGTTTGAAGTGGATGGCGCAGAAATCACATTACTGCGTTTCACTAGAACCATTTTGGTAGCTTGAGAGTTCTGAAGCCCTACCCGATACTACCCTATCACAAGTACTAAAATAGTTTTGGTAAATATCAATATGTTTTTTTGACTATTAATCAAATGCAAGCACCGTACTTTTTGATTGCAAATAAGCGTAACATAAATACGTGGTAATATACTACAAATCTGTTGACTAAAATGAAAAAGAAAAAGGCCAACTGACACCATTTTTCAAATCGAAATATGTGGTTACGAAGTAATCTTCTCTCTCAGTTAATCATGGTGCACTTCTGTTTTTTGTAAGCTTGAAAAATTACAAGCACAAATGTAGTCGAGTCATAAAATTAATAATTAACTCCTCCACAATCCTTGACTGATTTTCCATGCTCCCAGTTCAGGCAACAAATGGCGGCGGAGAAGAAAGATGCTCACCCCTGCATTCCACTTTCGGATACTCGAAGATTTTATTCCGGTCTTCAACGAACAAGCAGTCATCTTCGTCAGGAACCTCAAAGAACATGTGCACAAGAAGTACATCGACATTGTGCCTCTGGTCACGCTATGCACGCTCGACATCATATGTGGTGAGGAAAAGCGAGTCTGGGTGATTTCTTCTATTAGGTCGATGCAACGAGCCACTTTGCAAGTTATCTTATATTTGGGGTTTTGTAGTCTGGATCAGCATGGTCGTCATTTCTTCTCAGAATTAAATCTGGCTTTTACGTCACCAATTCAATCACTGAAACTTCCTGTCATATGTGCTTATTATTTTCCAACAGAAGCTAAGGTTTGGTGTGTGTGTGTGTGTTTTATTGCAGAGTTTCCTAATGTAAAATGGACGCAGATGACCAAAAGTATTTTCAAAGTCATAAACCACTAAGATTACCCGATATATCGATGATTATAAAGAGTAATTGTTAAATTTACAGTTTACAAGTGTTTCGAAGGTAGATTACTGCAGCTCACACGCTAATGCTGGTAATACAATTTATGCAAAGGTGCAAGCGAATTGGACAAGAATGTCGATAAGAATCCCTGGAGAACGGGAAGAATGGCGACAAGGGACAAACACAAATCTCCAAACGAAGCTGTCTTTGGAGTTTTGTGTTTGTCCTTTTTCCCCCTTGTTCCACTTCTCCAGGCATTATTATCCTCACACGTAAAGATTTCATTAGAACGTGGTGGTGTTTAATAGGCCAAACACATGGAGACAACCACATTTTATTCAATAAAAAACGAACATACCTTTTGATGATAATGACCAGCTTTTGTTTTGCGTAGAATTAATATATTTAGAAAATAAATTTCAGTACTTCATGTATCAACTAAATTAACAGCGATAAAATGATATCCTAACCACATGGTGTAGAGGTTTACAAGCTTGCGCATCAGTTGCGTTAAAAATATAATCACCTAAAATAGTGTAGCCGTGTGAGCTGTGTTAGAAAACCATCTAAAACATTGTAACTTTCAGAAGGAAGTACTTCGCAGAATATACGATTAGGTGGTAAGAAATCTTCACTGAAGTCAACTAATTCAAGGCTGGACAGAGGGATGGTGTCGTGGCTCTAAAGAACCTGTCGTGTAGTGCATTGGAGGATTGATTACGCAATGTTTATTCTCGCTAAACTATGCAACACTGTGTCTTGCGTATTGTTTCATCCTCACAAGAAATTATTTATTTCTTCAAATAAACCAACTTTAACGACGGTCCTCAGCTCTTTCTTTAGTAGCGTGATTTAACCAAAGGCTCCGCCAGGAGAAAAACCTTTTTCTTGACCCACTAAATTTATTTCATCATTTCCAGAAATCTATCAATATAAAGGCGCCTTATTATTTAGTTCTTACAGTGAAAACTATCTTTCAGGCCCAACACGTCGTTTTCCCCTTTCCTGTTTTAATTCATCATTCACACCTTTCTAAGGCCAGGAAGAAACTGCAACATTTTTCAGCATTGTTACTGATGCGTTCTCGCCTTCGCGGGAGACCCTTCGCCAGTAGCATTTCCAAGCTCAGCATTCCTCCCTACCTTGTCCCGACAACATGAAATGGCGATGGCGTAAATCGTACGCCACAAACACTGTGATAAGCCTACTTTGTTTACTTTTCTTTGTTTTTGTTTTGCAGAAACCGCAATGGGAGTCAAGGTAGATGCTCAATTAAATAGCAACTCGCACTACGTCAGGTCGTTGTACGAGTAAGTATTGCTAGTTCATTCCTTTCATCTTGTATTCTCACCTTGAGTTTATTTTTCAGTTTATCTTTCAGTTTAGGTAAACATTTAGTTGTTAAAATAATTTCAAAATTATTACAAGATCCTTACTGTCATCGTTATTTAGGTAATCTATATTTGTTTCGCAATGGTTTAGCAGTCATGAGGGTAGCGCCGAACACAACTTTTAGATGGCTTAATCAAAAGGAAAAATGTTTAACCTAAAAAAATCTAAAAATTTTCGGAATCCAAAATGCATTCTTTCTGGCTGATCAAAGCCATCTTGATGAAATCGGGGTTTCCTCGTAAAAAGAAACGTTGTCCAGAACGTTGTATCAGATACAAGGCAACTCTAGTAAATGTACTAATTTAATAAGAAAAAAAATTAAAACAAAGTAACCTTCAAATGCTTTTTTGTTTTGTTTTTTTTAATATAAACCCAAACATGAGCTTTCATAACCTCCTAAAATTCTGAGTTTAGGTCAGTATACATCAAAATATTGGTTCAATTAGACACTATGTGGCGACTTCGAAGATGTTAAAGAATTTGTTGTAATAACTGCACTTAAACGTTTGTGTATTACATAGCAAGGTGTTCTCTGTGATTCTGATTTTTATCATTCCTTAGCTGCCTTATCAATGCTATTACTAGTGCTATTCATGTTAAGAACGTTACCTTCATTAGCATGTGGTTAGATATCTAACCCCAGTCATACAAACAGTATATTGCTCATTTCATAATCAATGACAGGTTAAGAGGCGGAGAGACTGACTTACTTATGTTTACGTATCTTGCTTCCTGTTTTGTTCTTCCACGTCCTGATTGGTTGATGCCTTAACCGCATTGGCTGTGGAGCAGTAACAAGGTGCATGAGGTTAACCATACCCTCCGTTTTTTATGCTCTTAGCGACTTTAGCCTTGTATCTCTCGCAGCCTTCCCATTAGGCTGCTGGGAAAGGCCATCTTGTTTTTATACTATGGACGTTATCAAGATTTAAAAAAAAAACATTGCTTTATTCAGACAAACATCTAGAAGGATAGGGCAAAAGGTGACCCATGTCGCCTAAATAGTACCCATCCCTCTGTACAGTTCAGCAGCACGGCAGGAGAAAACAAGAAAATTGAGGGGAAAAAAGGTCTAAAACGTTCGGCTGAATATAATCTATAAGAGATATAAATTGTACAGGACGTTTGATTTTCGTACGAACATATTAAACAAATAGGCGGAGAGTTCGTCGAGTCCTGTCTTCAACATGTATTTACGAGGTTCGTCGAGGGGATAATCGTCACGGCAAGTTGAATCATTAACTAAAATCTCCCAATTAACTTTTTGATTATTGATTTTGAGGTTATGGTTAAATTGCAATAATGACTGCAATTACAATTGGAAGCGAGACCAATAAAAACAAACTTGCGAAAAGGTAATGCTTTTATAGATATCAAACGATCAATTGTCGCGCTTTTTTCGCACGATTTAAAAACTGCGCTCAAAAATGGCGTCGTAGGCCTCGCCCACGATGACGCTTGGAAGAATGATGTCGTTGTTTCAATAATGTCATTACTATCTCGGTAGCGTGCCTTCTGTGGGTGCTCCGACGCCAGAAGTGACGACGTAACTTTAATGACTACGTCACTGTTCAAAGCATCATTGCCAGCAGGGCTTGATGCACTCTTTTTGCGCGTATGCTTTAGATCGGGCGAAAAAACACTAATATGCATCAATTAATATCTTACAAACTATAATCTTTTGCAAATTATTTAAATTTGTCTGGCGTTTTATAATAATCTTCGTTAACACTTCAATTTCAACATCGCCTCTAAACCAATCATTAAAAAGTTAGCAAATTTTAGTTAATTTGTCAACTTACATAGCCTGACGATTATTCGCTAATAGAAATCCGCCGAGCCTGATAAATACATGGTGAAGACGGCACCCGTCTAACACTCACCCTCTTCTTTTTGTTTTTAATTGTTCAAATTAAAAATAAAACTCCTTGTATATACATAAATTCAAAAACTACAAAGTGTTACTGAAGTGAATTCGCTATTTGCAAACCTGCATTCTTTGTCCTCAATCCCTCTGTGACGGTGCGTCGTAGCACTGGCGTCATGGCTTAAGGAACAAATATTTCGGTCTCACAAAGTAGACCCTGCTTGAGATATCAAGGTGTGACCACAGATCTCCTTGCTGTCCTTCCTTTATTCCTTCAAGAGTGGGCGAGACCTTTATGGCAAGAGTCATGCGACCCTGGCTTTGGCCCAACTACGTCTTCTACATGTCATCATTCGGGAAGAAGTTCAAGGACAACCTTGCGCAGCTGCACAATTTCACGAGAAAGGTGGGTATATGTTTTAGAAAAACAAAAAACAATTTCATACGAAAAAGTGTGTTTTAGGATGTAGTAGACGTCTTATGTAACTAAAGAATATCTGACAGAGCCGTTAGACGATGTTACATAAAAGGACTCACAATAGTTCTTCCAGAATCGTCCATCGTATGATGAGGAAACCTGCCATATTAGCTACCTTAAACGAGTTTTGTCAGCGTTTTTTTTTTTATATCTGTCTATTCATTCACAGTTAGTACTACGCATACTGACTTATGCCTTTCTAGAGGTTGCACAAATTGGCCGAAATATAGCAACGTAATGCATAGGTTTCTTAAACACATACCCTTTGGCTTTCACCTATATAATATTTATTTTCCTGTAATTCAGTAGTAATATTTTTGAACGCTTGGAATGACATATTGTTAGCGAAACTAAGTAAATGCATTCCAAACTAGGACTGTTAAGTTTGTCCTGCGATGACAAAATCCAGACAACTCTAATGAAATTAAAAAGTTGGAAACTGGATTTCTTTTCTAAGAAACAATACCGATGAAGGTTTTAGGCTTTTTTTATACAATAAATAACCTAGTTAAGCACTAAAATAACTTTGATGAAATTATCTCATTTAAAATTTTATCCGCAATTATCAGATGACAAACCAGGGAATAAATGACAATCCAAAAGCAGACAGAAAATACCCTTAAGCAAAATATATGCCGTGAAATTGGCTTTCCAAAAGCCAAGTCCACTTTTCAAACAAGTCTAGTTTCTTTCGCAACCGGACCTCCCCATTGCCCCGCGCGTAACAGTAGTCCTGAAAGAAAGTGTGGGGTAATCTGTTTTAAATTAGTTAATCTAAGTACTGGTAGTACAAATTCCTTTTATTAGCCCAAACACAACGACTCAGTATGTCATAAGTTCAGCAGAAGTAAAAATATATGTGATAACGGCTAAGGAATATGCCAATTAATAACATGTTTATAGAGCCGCATTAATCAGACTTTAGCTTTGAACAATCTATTTATTACAACATATGAATGCTGCCACGATTATATCGTGCGTGTTCAATGCTCAGATCGCTTCTAAAAAAAACACATCGAATCATAGTCTTGTCGATAATAAACCTCGTCAAAATTTTACTTAACTCAAGGCACCACTATCTCATGAATGTTCATGAATGCTGCTAAGAATATAGCTAGATCTGCGTTTTAACTGCACAAACTTTGGGGTAGACATTACGACTCAAAGCTGATATCTTCAAGGTATCTACTGGATAACATCTGAAAACAGGAGGTGTTCGGAGGCATACGAATCAAACAGGTGCTGTCACGGGTTTCATAATTAGACGAAGACCTCAACTGGCGACGGCTTTTATGGAATACGCACAGAGTGGTGGAGGCGCCCGCACATAAAATCGATCCAAATTTACTTTTGCGGGTTGAAGATCAACCTCCACAGGTTTTATTTACCACTCCCGTTAATGTCACGAGTGGGATATTTGCACCACACTTCTTGTCCCACCCAGAATAGCATCCCTTTTACCGTGATGGGAGTACGAAATAATAGGCAGTCGCGTGTTAAAGGCCTTGCGTGTTTGGCATATTTGCCTTCCACACCGTACGTGAATTGGCAGTAGACCTAATTTCCCCAACCGGTCATGTCACTAGTCGCCTTTTCAAACATAAACCGCAACGTCGATCGTGGTCATATTGAGGCCAACGGCATCCAATTTGAACTGACAGCTGAGGGGACAATTCGGTTCCTCTTACCACTACGCGTTTCATTATATCGTAGTTGGAAACCTTCATTTAGTGCGCGAAAATTCACCCAACATTAATTCCGCAGGTCATACGGGAAAGAAAAGCCGAGCTCCTGGAGCAGAAGGTCATCGATGGGCTTACTATCGGGGATCAGGTGATCGGGCAGAAGAGGCGACAGGCATTCCTGGATCTCCTTCTCAGTCACCACATCCAAGATAGCAGTCTCACCGAGGAAGACATCCGGGAGGAAGTGGATACCTTTATGTTTGAGGTAAGCAGATCTGCTCCTAATTTACAACTTTGGTGTCACTCTGGTTTCCCCAAACAAAAAAAACGTGGTTCATAATAGTCATTAAAACTAACTTTCAAGTATTTTTATTACATTAATCCCCGTTTAAATAGCTCCTGCAATACATTTAGGTATGTCGAAACTTGGCACTGAAGCTAATATTTTTGAAGTTTAATACTCCACCACACAGGTGTGAACTTCGTATCATCGGCTTATTCGTGGACGTTTATGTGAAGGTCTCGCGGAGCACCAGGAAGAGAAATAAAATAAAAACACTGCACTAAAATAGGCACAAATTGTTCTTCAGAAAGGACGATTAACCGCATATTGAGCTAATTTTTGTGGGATTTTAACTTTTAGGGTGAACGAGCAGCTACTGCATGCAATAATGAAATATCATATACACACTTCTTATAGAATAAGCTTGAACAAAAGGCGCCCGTAAGTTATCGCCTAAAAAGCAGATATTAAAAGAAAACTACCGTTTATTGATTATCTTAGCTGGTATTGATTCTGTTTGGCTTGTGCAAGCAAATTTGAATATGTGAATTGTAAGCTTGATCCTCAACTTTGCTCTCCAACTTTCCTATTTAACTTTGTTATTCAAAATTTGCTATCCGACTTTGCTTTTGAACTTTACCCTTCAACTTTCCCCATCTAACAGAACCTTGTACTCCTGGCACAGAAACACAAAACACTCAATGTCCAAGTATGTGTTGTTTCCCAGGGTCACGACACGACAGCCATGGGCATATCGTGGGCGATGTACTTGATCGGGCTTCACGCAGACGTCCAGCAGAAGATTCACGAGGAACTCGACGGGATCTTCGGCGAGGACAGGGAGCGCCCCATTTCGCCAGATGACCTCAAGGAAATGAAGTACCTCGAGTGCGCCCTGAAGGTGTGTTACAGGGACCCAAACCAGTGCGCCATAAATTAAACGCAAAACTATCACGGGTCCGACAGCGTTAAAAGTTACCATTGGCGAAACTGCAGGTTGTTAAAGTTAGTCTTCCTGTTCTAGATATAGGTAACACAGTGCACAAAAATGCCGGGATATCTTTTTTCCTTGAGGGCGCTCCGAAAACTGACCTTCAAGATCTATGGAAATGTGGAAAAATACTAAAAAATGACGAGGCAGGGAAGAAAAAAATTTTGTTTTAAAATAAAGGCTTCGATCTGATACAATGACGATCAGCTAGCGTCGCATGTAGCACGCTACATTTTTCAGTGAAACGTTTTTTCCTGCCTCGCAATTCGCCGAGCTTTATCTGTTGATCTGAGTGCCCATGGGAGTGATTGACTTTCTCATAGATATCTACGTATGTCGGGATTTTTCGAAACGAGCTCAAAGAAAAACTTAAAAAAAGACTATTCACTCTTAAAAAAGTCTGTACGTCTACTTTCTTGCAAAACACTCGGAGAGCCAATCACCGCGGCTAACGGAGGCAACTCGGCAAATGGCAATACCGAAACATATGTTTAGACCAAAAAACGCAGTCTCAGCTCTGAGATTAGGCAATGCAATCGTGACGTTTAGCATTGCTTAATGACACAACTCAAGAGCGTTTTTTGGTCCAAGCATATGTTTTGGGCATCGCCATTCGCAGAGCTGTGTCCATAAGTTGCGGTGATTACCTCTCCGAGTATTGCGCGTGAAAGTAGACGCACAGACTTTTTTTAGAGTGCAGTCCCTAAGAGTCTCAAAAATGCAGGGAGTGGCGAATCTCGAGCATGCTATTATTGTTCGGCAACCAATGAGTCAGCGGTATTAGCTGTTAAGTTCGCCGAAAAACGAATCATAAAGCAAGAAACGTGAACTTCATCCACGCTCTGTGTTCCTTAAGCCGCCAGTTACTTTAGTATCTACTGTTTTTTACTAACGAAACTGTAAATTAACTTAGTTTTTGTAGCTGCCGCAAAAAAAAAAAAAGACGTAACATCCACTGAGTGTAAACTTACGATTGGCTTTCCTGTGTCTAAAATTGTTTTAAGTTTTTTTTAATAGATAGTTTAGCAGGTAAACTAGCGTTGCCAAGTAATTTAGACGCCCCGTAAAAATCAATTTTTCAACCTGTAGTGCTGTAATTTACTATAGAGGTGCAAGCAGGTGGTGGAAGTTTACAGTGAAAAACTTAGTGAATGAACTTACCTCGTTCAAAAGAAGAAAAAAAACAGTTCTGGGCAATCTACGCCACCGGCTCGCAGACGATGCACGTGTAGAGAAAAGTGTTGCCGACAGATGGCGTACGCCGCGTCGAGGGAGTGCCGGCCTATTTTTGTTCGTTTGCGAGATCCTCTGCTATCGACCCGAATCGGCTGGCGTTCCTTCGACGCTGCGTACGCCATCTGTCGGCAACATTTTTCTCTACACGTTCATCGTCTGCGAAAAGGCGGCGTAGATTGCCGAGAACAGATTTTTCTTTGGTAGGGGCGAAGCTCCTTAAGGTCTAGCCTTGTCCGTCCGTTCGTCCGTCCGCCCGGACGGCGTCCGTGCTCACATAAAAAGAAAAGATGTTTGCGCAGTCGACAGGATTCGAACCTGTGCGGGGAGACCCCAATGGATTTCTAGTCCATCACCTTAACCACTCGGCCACGACTGCGGTAGTAACTCAAGAGCTGGGGTTTCTGTCATGGGTGAAACGTTGCATGTAGCCGCTCAACGTCTATACAGGAGAAGGCGCTGCGGTCAAATGCGTACGTAATCGCGTTAAACTTTGCATGCAGTGGCTCAACGTTTATAGACGAGAGGGCGCTGCGATCAAATGTTCAAATGCGTATATAACCACGTTCCATACCACACATTTTCTTTCTGGCATGGACCGTTGACTTAAACGGTGGAGATGCGTTCCCACGGCTTCTAGCGGATCCAGGCTGATCCGCTCGAAGTACGGATCAGCTCTGCATTTCACCGACCATAAAGCAGTAATAATGAAGTCGAAACGCAACCCGGAACTCAGCACTACCTATGAGCAATAAAAAAATCAGCACCATCAGCACTATCTATGAACAATAAAATCAGTATCATCAGCACCACCAGAACTTCGCCCCAATCAACATTATTCACCACGTGGAGATGCGGTCATTTTTTCATAAACGAGGTAGGTTCATTCCTTGATTTTTTCGCTGTAAACTTCCTCTACATGCTTGCACTTCTCTAGTATATTGCAGCGCAATAAGTTGAAAAACTGATTTTTTCGAGCCGTCTACAATGCCTTAGAAGCGTTAGTTTACATGCCGTAGAATTGCGGGGATTTTTTTTTGCCGCACAAAACAACTAACCTGAGAAACCTTAGTGGTAAGGCTACCCTCAAGACTGGTTTGTTTTCTACCGGTAGCGATAAAATTCTGAGAATTTTATTTCAACTGATACAAATTTTTAGCATTAAATCATCCAGTTAGCGAAGCTAATCACAACCTTGATCTAATGCAATGTTTTTATTGAATGCAATGCAAGACATAGCTTAAACTACGTTTAATCACATAATATGCAGCCGTCGTGGTGGCAAATGATACACACTTTTGAAAAACGTGTAAACGCCGGACGAAAAAGTTGAAACGTTCTTTGTCCCCTTTTTTCGGCCGTCTTCGGTTTTAAAAATAGTGCCACATAAACCAGCTTGCCTGTGTACTTATTCTATCTTCAGTGGCAAATGAATTCGTGAGCTAGGCTGACACAATACTTGTATTGCTTTTTTTCAGGCTTTCGTGTAGTCTTGTGTGGTTTTTCTCTGCAGAGGGGTCACCTTTCTAACAGTCCATGTTTCAAGACGCTTCAGGGATTTATATTTTCTTCAAGTGCATGTATTATACACAGTTCACTGATGGAGTAAAGCACGAACGAGACGATCGTCTTTGCTTGATTGAGGTATTTCAGAACACGGGACATTCTCTAACATATTGAGGCCTCAGTTACGAACAAAAATAATGTATGTGTTTAATTACCACCAACTTCATCCCAACCCTAAGAAGAGCAATAAGGATCGCAAATATGTACGCCTCGCATTCTATTATTTCTGTTCTTCCTCCTGTTTTTTGTTTTGTGGTGTATCTTCAAAAGGTAAGTATTACAGGAAAGCGTACGATATATGTTTTATTACGGCAGCTTCAAAAGCAGCCCAGTTATTACCGTCAGCAAAAGAAAGACTGGTCGCCTATCGTGCCTGCTAAACGTTACTTTTGATTTTCGAATAACAACCTACCTCAGGAGGTAAATTGTGGCGCGATGCGGAAAAGTGCTGGACGTTATATTTCTTATACGTGTTTTAAAGTAGACTGCGCACGTAGGTCAAGTGAGACCGCGCAGTTTGCTGCAGGAGGAATAGGTAAATTACACAAGCATCATTGCAGCCTGCAGGGATACCTCGAAGAAATCAACACTCTGGTAATTGTACTCTGGATTGACATATTTATATTAACTTATTAAGGCGAAAGTCTTACTTGTCCCATTACGCGAAAAAGCGGCGTCGTTGTGCCCGAAAGATGGCCATAAAAATACGTCATCAAGCACGTTCAAGGGCGGGAGCGTGACGTCACCGCCGGCGTGCCGTGTGCAAATGATGCGCTTCGGACTTCATCTGTGCTAGTTGTGTGCTTCATGCGATGGACTGTGATGCGGCCGCGTCTGCATCTACGGCCTCGACATCGGCAGCAGCGTCTACATCTGCGGCGGCTTCCACAGGCAAAAGTGGCCGCCCACGCAAATACGCCACAGCCTCCTTAAGTGTCCTCCTCTGGGCGTCGTTCCCGACGTCGTCCTAGACGTTCCCCTTAAGGTCGTCCCAGTGGTCGTCTTACCAGTCGTCCTAGACTTCGTTCTTGACGTCGTCCTCTAGGACGTCATCCTCAATGTCACCCTAGACGCTGTTCTTGATGTCCTCTTAGACGTCGTCCTTGAGGTCGCCGGAAAGGTCGTCCTCGGCATCGTCCCAGACGCCGTCCTTGACGTCGCCCTCGACGTCGTCCTCGAGATCGTCTTAGACGCCGTACTTGGCGTCGATCTCCAGGATGTCGTCCTCGACGTCGTCCTATGCGTCGTCCTATAGGGCGTCCTAGAGGTCATCGCAGACGTCGTTATTGACGTCGTCCTCGACGTCCTCCTAGACCAGACTTGTGCCCGTTACTCCAAAAAAGTAATTAATTACAATTAAAATTACTTGGCCTAAAATGTAGTGGATTACCGTTACAAATTACTACCCGTCAAAAGTCACTCATTAATTACTTCGTTACTTTACTCAATTACTTTTGCGTTACTTTAAAGAAACACGCAAAATACCTGCAATATCTACTGCGTGTTTGTGGGGGGAATTTCGGGCCCCATCAAAAATAAAACAGATTCGGTACTATATCTACCGATTATTATAGGATTATAATTTTACGACAATGGATCTATAAAGCTTTGAAGGACTGCAACAGGTGTTCGATATAAACGAATCTAGCACTGTCCACCCGGGACAGAACTGAATCCCATGAACATGCGACGAATGCACATGGGTGGCGGAGGCACGCACACCATTCGAAATATGGCAACGGCAAACTTTAGAACACGACTCTCCTGAAGATGTCGTTGTTCTACGGTTGCTATATATTGCCTAAATAGGGGCTGGTTTAGCCACTAAAACCAACTGGCTGTAAGACGTACATGCGGTAGTTGCGTTTGGGCAGATTTCAGAGTACCGCTTGTTGAAAGTTGTTATCCGGCCTTGATCCACTTGATCTTTTTTCTTGGTCATCAAACTAATCAAAACTAAAACTTCACACGAAATATTCATCCACAATCTTTCAACTAAGCTGATTTTTCGGTTTAGAAAATATTAAAATAAGCACAATTTTCAGTGAACAGCAGGCTTCGATGTATCTCACGCGTTTACAGCCGCCTTGCGCTGCCTTAACTCCTGTGGAGGCACCCTACTGTGTCCAAGTCAGCCACTGTTTATTCTCAGAAAACTCGGGCTGGTGTTCCCTTTCCCTAAAATGTCGGAGTAAGTTCAAGTAGGCACAATCCGCTGACGAGAGCCCCAGCGTTCGCGTTTTATGAATATGGGTTCAGCTTCGAAGTCCCAAGCCATTTTGGCTGTGCTCCCCGGCCACCTTATCGCCTGCTGTCTAAAGTTAGTGTTTGAACTGACAGTAGTGTTGATGCTACATTTTTTTCTGTTCCAATGAGCTTCTGCCATCGCTTCCCTTTTGTTTGTGTCTTACGCATCCGCTAGTGCGAAGTCAAGTGACAGAAATCACAAAGCTTGTTGGTCCAGCCAGTATTTAGCTTTCACAGCGCTGTCAAAGATGAACAGGGTCAAGATCCCGATACAATTCTTTTTTTGTCTGCGGGGTGTGTGTGTGTAGGCAGAATATCGACAAGCAAAGGACGGTCTCGTGTGACAAAAAAAAAATGCTGATTGGTTTTTGGGGGACAAAACGCAGGGGGTGGGGCGGAAAGGAAGGGGGCGAGCGGACATCTGCACCACAGTCACAGTGTCCACGTTCGTACTCATCACGATACCACTCGATGGTTTTATGGGCCATTAGTTCTTTGCTCTTTTGTGCGCTCCAAGCTGTCCGTTCGTTTTCCAAGAAGTCGAAGCTTGTTGCCTTCATGTAGACAGTCGAATCCTCCCAGCCTGACTGACCGTACGAACAAGTCCAGAAGCGGGCTCTGGCTGGGCTGTCGCGGTTTTTGTGAATTCCTTTCCTTCGCCAGCACTAGCTCTCTTCGTTAGCGAACCCCCGTCTTGTTTTACCATGCTAAAAGCGCGAAGGCCGTTGCATCGCCCTTCTTCCTCTCTATTTTTCCCTTTGACGGGGCGGAAGATTTGTAACGAGTAACTTCAGTAACGCGTTACTGAAAAAGTAATGAAATTAAATTACGAATTACATTTTCAAAAAGTAACGGATTAATTACAAAATTACTAGAAAAGTAATTAATTACAAGTAATCTCGTTACTTGTAACGGATTACTTCCAAGTCTGTCCTAGACGCCGTCCTTGACGTTGTCCTCGATATGTGCACGGCAACGCAGATGCTTTCGCACTCCTACACATGAGCAGGCTTAAGTGCCTTCCTGTGGTTTTTAAACACTTTGTGCTAAATTCGTAATAGATACAGCTGAGGGAAGTTTGGTAACGGAGGTACAGCGCCTGAAACTTGTCCCCGGCTGACCTGTTTAGCTTCATAAATATTATATCGACCATTATTCATTGAGCTGTCCACCAAGCGGAAACAAAATATGTTATAGGAGCCGGCGTGTCATGCGACGCCTAGTCGTAGCCCTGGCAGTTTGTTCTAGAAGCGTCTGGGAGGAAGGAGAGCCGACGCAAGTGGCACAACCCTGGAATAGAGGGGCTTCCATATACTGATCTGCGGCAGACCAAGGTGCAGAAGAACAGACGTCAGCCGTGTCCGCGTTCACTGCTGTACCACCACCAGAATTGCCGGCTTACAGCAACAAAGCCCATATATGATTTCAGTAGACAAAAATTGATAGGGCTGAACATATAGACGCGGTAGACACACTGCACTCCGGTCGCTTTGATGCCCGAAGAGCAACGAGTGGTTTTAACGAAATATTACGGGTCCTTGAAGTGATTTCTGAGAAAGTTACCTCAAGCTAAATAGGCGCATTTTGAAGGCAAGAAGCAAGGGCTAGCTCATACCAGTCGCATTTTCACTCACGTAAACGTAAGAAGACACTTAACTATTTTTAAACGATCGGGGCAGGATATGTAAGTCACACACCTCCGTCCCCCCCCCCCCCCCCCCCCCCAAAAAAAAAAAGAATAAATAAAATAATTGGAGCAAAATTTACACAAAGAGACGCAACTGAGAGCCTGCCGTGGATGCGGCGTACGGGCTATGTTCTGTTTTATTACCACACCTTCCTACGCGCACCTTAAGGCCAAGAGTATTATATTTTGACTTATCTTTGACGTTCGCCTCGGAGGTAAAGCAAATCCTGAAACAGCGTGTGCGTGCCGACGATATCGTCCCGAACTTAAAATGTGCCTCGCGAAGTAACTATAAAGTTAATGTTTTATTCTGAAAAAGTGCATGTCGTGACAGACGTGTCTCGTCTAGGCAGTCAAAACTGAGTTTATGGGAGAGATGTGTGCCCATATATTTGATCGGAGCATAGCAGTAGACGGCTTATATGTGTATATCGCAGAGGGAGCTAACATTCTTAAGCTTATCAGTGAGGGGAGATAAAGCACGCGCTTCAGACATCAACATTATGAGTTAAAATAACACTTCAATTGTTTTTAATGAAGTAGGGTTATACTTGTATGCATTTGTGCAGTCGCTGGTGAGGCGTATTGAAGACCTCAAATTACTGGCTGTGCTGTAGTAACTGCGCTGCCCCTTCAAAGTAAAACACTAGTTGCCCCATGTCAAGGCTCACCAACTTTTCGCTGTCCAGACATCAGTGCGACTAATTTGACTTCGACTTGGATATAACTTGATGTGCTGTCACTTGAGTCATCATGATCCTGTCTCAAACGCACTGCGTACATAAGTTACAGCACGTTTTGCGTGCAGCTTTGTGTACCTGGCGCGTGTACAGTGTTGATTGTGTTCGCCAATACTTCAGCATGAATGCATAAGTAGTCCTTTAAAAAAAATAATAAAAGACGCTTACAACCCCCGGTAACACCGAATCAGAGTGCAGCTCTTGAGAAGGAGGAGGGGAAGGTACGGAGCGGAGGGTACGCCTCTCCTCCTCATCCGTACCCTCCCCTCCTCCTTTCCGTCTCCCCTCCCATTCAGCGGGAAATTTTCGCTCAATTTCTCGCTAAATTAGCGGGAAATTTTTTGTTCGCTAAACCTAGCGGGGAAATTTTTCCGCTAAATTTAGCGGGAAATTTTTTGCACTAAATTTAGCACGTAATTTTTTCTGCTAAATTTAGCTGGGAATTTTGCCCGTCAATATAGAGGGAAATTTTTCTGTTAAATTCAGCGGGGGATTTTTCCGCTAAATTTAGGGGGGAATTTTTCCCGCTGAATTTAGCGGGGAAAATTTATCGCTAAATTTAGCGGGGAATGTATTCCGCTCAATTTAGCGGGAAATTTTTACGCTAAATTTAGCGGGTAAGTTTTTCGTTAGGTTTAGTGGGAAATTTTTTTCGCTAAATTTTCCACTTCATACTGCGGGGATTTTTTTCCGATAAATTTGGCGGAGACATTTTTCCGCTAAATTTAGCAAAACACTTTCCCCGCTAAATTGAGCGAAGAACCTTTTCCACTAAATTTAGTGGGAAATATTCTCCAATAAATTTAGCGGAGAAATTTACCCATGATGCAACGCAAGTGACGTCGCATGTGTCATTATGGGAAACGTCCCATAATGCAACGCGCGGTTACGCCGACAGCGACGCCGCTTAAGCCGGAATTGGGCTCCTAAGAGCTGCGCTCAAAAATATGGATCAATATCAAGCTGCGCGAAATTGTTATTGCCAAAAGGTTTCGCCACCAGGTGTTGGCAAATCCTAAAAAAGACAATTATTACTTGGAACATAAACATCCCGTAGTTTCATCCCGGCCCCTCGCTCTGACACCCTTAATAAGTGGTCAGATGAATGTAAAATGCAGGTTGTGCCGACTTTGAAATCATTGAGTTCTATGCAGCCTTTAGTCTACCAATTACAAGTTGTGAAGGATACGCGTTTCAGCACACTTATGTGTTCAAGCAAACTTGCCTTCTACGTCCCAGCAAAAAAAACAAAAAACTAATACTACAGAGAAGAAGGCGGCTAATAATATTAAAATGTTTCAACAAAATATGTTTATAATTTTCAGTTTACCATGCCAGACTGTTCATCACCAAGGAAAATATATGAGTTAACGGGCGCCTTGATTTAAAAACCTTCAATTGATGTCAAAGAATTCCGAGTGTACATCATGTCAATTTCACCTTCTCTGTTTTGCGTTGTTTCTAGGAGTCCCAGCGGCTATTTCCATCGGTGCCATTCATCGGAAGAGAACTCATGGAAGACGTGGTAGTGAGTGAGTAAAACCTAAATTTCATCAGCAGGAAGTTCACATTTTTCAGCTAGTGAAAAACGTAACGTTTTTAAGAACGTAAGTTTTCCTCAGCTTTTGTTTGCTGATGGATAAATGAAGCAGTGCCAAGATAAACGTTTACGATCTATTATCTTCTCTAACGCGATAGCGTTAGGAAGCTCGTGGCGCGCCCGCCTCGGTTCCGTGCCAGAAAAAACGGCGTGACGCGAAAATCCTGATTGGTTAATAGGGTCGCGACGTCACACCCACATTACCTAGGCTCGTCTGTCTGAAGGAGCGTACAGTTCCCATCCGTTTCGAAGGAGCTGAAAGTTCTCGTCCGTCGCCGAGTCCGACTAGTAGCGCTGCGATCCTGCCGTGATCGTTCGTTTGTGAAGAACCCCGCCGCGGAGTCACCGTAGGCCGCCGGGAAAGAACACGTGTTCGATGGATGCGGTGCCGTTCTCCCGTGCAGGGCGCTGTTCTGAGTCGTCATCTTCTACGAATGGAGATGCCGCATCTACGACTGCTCCTGCTCGGCGACGGGGTCGACCACGTAAGACTGAAGCCGAGAAGGCGGAGACTAAGGCTAGGCGTGCAGAGGCGATGCGCCACAAGCGGGCCGAGAATTCACTAACGCTATCGCGTTTTACTTTTAAAGGCGAAGCTTAAGCGTCCTCCGACTTTTTTTTTCTAAAAACTAGGTGTGGAAGAGCTTGCTGTCTTGAAAGATAAAAGGGGGCGAAGGTACTTCTGATACGAATTTCGAAATTTCTTTCCAACGAATGGTAAATAAACCAGGAGATACTCAGAGAACTTTATGGTGCAATGTCGCGTTGACCTACAACAGAGCCGGATAATTATAAAATATTTAAGCTAAATGATTCTATATATTTATACATTTGAATTATATGGGTAGCGAACAAGCAATGGATTTTTGAGACACAAAATCAACGCATTGACGACTTAATAGGGTGGACCAGATGGTGTCTTATTGAAGTTTTAGGGTCGTGGACAAAGTAGTTTTGGGAACCCGTGGAAAATGTCCAATCTTTCTCCTTGCACGTCGTAACTACATCACTATTTGATTATTTTACTAGAGTTACCAAGTCTTACCTTCTCCGTATTGCTGAATACATGAAGTTCATAAATGCACTGTCCTTCACCGTCCTTGTTCCATTCAAGCTGCTTCTGAACGAGGAGCGCGTGTCGAGCGAATAATGTAGTATTGGCTGGTAGCAAAAAATGGTCAAATATCTTAAAAATAATAGCTGGGGAGTGACTGGGCAGATGAATCCGAAGTAGTAAAGGCATTTACTCAGCACCTACTATAGACGAACATCGTATTTCCTTATATATATCATCAGTGCGGGAACCGCTTCTGCTCTTCAAGTGAAAGGCCTGTAGCCGTGTAGTAATAATGAGTCGTTGAAAGGTTACTTAGCGCACAGGCACAATACACAAACTGCCCTTGCTGCAAAGCTGCCCTGAAACAGGCTTCACTGTGAATGACAGTTTGGCACTACTGTCAACCAAACCTCTCAAATGGCGCTTTGTACTTCCTCTCCGAGGTTTACAATTTTCATATTTAAAGACATGCTTCCAATAAAATTTCCTCTGTTATGAGTTTTCAATTGAAGATACAAAATTACCGAGTATAAATATTCAAAGTTACTCCTTATTCAATTTACTGTCTATTACCTGGTTGACCTGTTTGGCGATCCATTCAAGTGCTTCAAATCAGAAAAGCTTTCTGGTCAAAGTCATCTCCTCGAAAACAGATACGATCGAACTAATTTCAGGTCTAGATAAAAGACTTTCTTCCCAAGGCTGTGAACAATTCAACGGTGACCGTTGAATATGGAAGAAAAATGTGCCCCTGAAAAAAGAGCTTAGAATATAATTTTTGTAAGAGCCTTAAAAATAATCTATGTCGTAGATATTTCATTTTCCTCACGCAACAGAAGAAACTTGAATCATCGGAATATTTTTGTTCCACAGACGGATACACGGTCCCCAGGGGCACAACGTGTTTCCTCTTCACCTTTATGCTTCATCGGGACAAGGAGATCTTCCCGAACCCTGAGGTGTTCGATCCGGAAAGGTTTCGTCCAGAGAACTGCGTCGGGAGGCATCCATTTGCCTACGTTCCCTTCTCCGCTGGCCCTCGCAACTGCATTGGTAAGGACATGTCTGATTCACTTCTTTCGCATGCCTACGCGTTATTTTTAGTGAACCGCACACTGCAGGCTGTAGGGTAGCATAAAAATCTGGGATTACGTGTCTGGCTTAAGCAAGGACTGCTGTGACCGAAAGCGTTGGGGTGTGGTTGAGCGATGCGTACAACAAATATCGTTAGTGTCTGCATAGGCAGAGTTTTATACATTAGTCATTTACTTTTTTAAAAAAGAAATATATAACTGAAGATCAAGGTCTACGCGACGATCTGTTGTGTAAAGTTACGTCCCAGAAGTAGAACTGGAATTGTGGTTTCTTTAGAAGCTATGCCCATGAGCAAACGTTATTCACCACGGTTCTCCAACCACGACGAACAATATTACAGTCATAGTTTCTGTTACAAAATATCCTTAATAAAAGTAATGTAAAAATTGCTAAAGCATGGATCGAAGCAGAAAGAATAATGTTTAGGGTCTTCTCGTGGAAAGCAAAAAAAAAAAAAAAAAACATTGCACTTTTAAAAAAATAAAAGAAGCAGAAGAAAAATTCATGAAACCATAAATTCACGCTTGAAATACAACTGCACATTATCGAAAGAAGGCACCTCTATAACTATTGAAGTCAAAATAAAGCAGAAACTTAGTAAGGACTCCTGAACTGGCACCACAGACTCATATTTAGAAAACTATGATTCCAGTTGAAAATTGAAATACAAGTTCCAGTTTCCAAGGTATTTTGTGTAATCAACCATTCTCTTTCTTTTTTTCTTTTTTTTGCGACGTCTTTTGTTTCGAGACAATCTGTGCTTTTACTGTATGTGATTTCTTGTCTTCAAAGCGAACAGTTTCAGTGAATAATCTAATCATGAACCTCGTTAAAAAGCTTTGTTATTTGTTCGTTTTATATTTGCTTTAGTGTAAATTTACGTAAGGTATAAGGATAACATTTTTATTTTATTTTACAGCACGTTTTTTTTTTTATAATGTTATATTGTGATCAGAATGCAGAAATTTGTCCCGAGAGCATTCTCCTGCTGACTCTGCCACGAGATGATGCGAAATGTGTTTCCAGCCGACGCCCACTAATAAGAGCAACTAAAAATACGAACATCTGTGATAAAATATCAAAATTACGACTGCTGTGAGTTTGGTCCGGAAGTCATATATCTCTAATCAAACGGCTTTATAAACTAGTGCTCGACGTACGTGCCCTCTTACAAAATGTTGTCATGTAAATATTACTTGAGCATCGGGGTGCATTTTGCATTGAGGTGCTCGTAACAACACTCTAATAAAACGCGTGCTTTGTAAATAATCGTGGTGTGTATGAACACGAAAGTTTTCTTGTTCTTACTAAAGCAGTATGCAGTGACAAGCAGGTTACGTTCGTGCGATGTACTTGCATGACCTGACCATGACAGCTTGCTCTTTAAGAAAAGCAGAGCCAAGAAAACTTCAAACATTCGCGAGAAATAACGGCGCACCATCTCTTTTCCTGTGTTTTTAGGCCAGAAGTTTGCCATGATGGAAGAGAAGGTGGTCCTGTGCTCAGTGCTGCGGAACTTCTATATTCACGCCGTGGACTTCAGGGACAAAATCCACCTTGTGGCCGAACTGGTCACGCGGTCCAAACACGGGCTCAGGATACGGTTAAAACCTCGTTAGATGCTTGTGTTCCACCATTGCCTAGCTACGGGCCCAGCGGGGACGCCAGTCCACTGTCCCAACAAGTCATGGGATCGTGACGACCGGCTCCGAGCCCCACATGTTCCCCTGAACAAGAGACAGCGCTCCGGCGCGTTCCTTTTCAGGCGAACGGGAAAGGGACTCATGCACAGGCTTCAGGCAAGGCGTCGACCGCAGGATGCTGTGAAGGCCTCTGGAAAAGTGTCTGCGACTTCGCCAGTGTCACATTCATCCTATAGCTTAAGTCGGACCTCAGCGGGTCTCGCTCTGGGTTCTTGCAAGCGGCTGACGGGCCTTGCTGGTGTCAGCCAAAGTGATCGAGAATTCCTGGAAGCAATGTTGATAACCTCAGTCTATGTTGGATCCCTAATCTTTGTCCCTTGATTTTCCCTTCCCCTGTAAATAAGTTCACCTCTATTTGAGTGCCAGCCCGTCGTGGACACGTGGAGGACATGCAGCCAGTGTGGTTCAGTCTTCACCGCCAGATGAAGAAATTACTTTGCACGCCTCGTGCGTATGTAAACTAACACCTTGCCACGTTCGGGCTGTCGTCGTGTGATTGTCGTGAGGAAGCGTGCATGAATGTGTGAGTGCGTGTACTCGTGCGAAATGGTGTGCCGATGGAGTGAGTTCTGCAATCGGTGCTCTTGTGCCTCGTGACAAACAACTTTTTTTGCGCGCGCGACGAAGAGCTTAAGACGTGTCCCTCTGATTGCGACAAAGCAGCAGAATCTGATCGGCAGAGGCTTCTGTTTTGTTGTTATTTTAAAATTTTTTTTTACTGATTCCTCTGCCTTTTTTGTAGTGTGCCAACACGTCCTCTCGTTTACGATGACAATTGCTCCTGCATGACCTCGAAAGACTATACGCCTTTTAACACGAGTAACAATATTTCGGCACACAAGAGAAACGACCCAAGCGTTGTACCTTTTTTGCCTTTATACTAGTCCACTTTTGTTAATGAACCTTGTTGTTTGTTTCATTTCGAGGTGTGGTTCTTTGGAAAGCAACGGCAGTTTCTTTAAAACATGTGACCAGCCTGTCACCCTATTGAGGACAAGGAAAAAAACAAAGAAACAGTGTGTGTCGTGGGCATGGAATTAGGGTCTATGCAGAAGGCGTACTCAAATTCTTTAGAAGAAGCTGCCGCTGAAACGATATCCGAAACGCAAGCATGCAGAGTCGCCGGTTCGGGACCACGTGTTTTGTCTACCAAAGATGATTCAAGCAGACAGACTCGAGTTGCCAAGTTACTGTATTACACTTGACTGCCCAACACATGAGGAGTGGACAAACTCGGGATCTTGTTCGCCACGATAAGTAGGACGAAAAAGGCCGTCACTTCCTCTAAACGACAGCCGTGATATTTGCCGCAGCAGATGTTTAATGCGGAGTGCTAACTACTGTCTGTCGCATCGACAGCGAGCTTTTCATTTGGACTTGAAATCTGACTAACTAACCTTCTGCGCGTAAATTCGCGCCCTATTTCACTGAACAAAAACTCTTTCTTCCATTTTTTTTACGTTCCCTTATTTGAAACAGAGGTCCAGTCAAACCGGTGTGCTTGTTCGTCTATTTATTTTGTTACGAGGTAGTGCAACTGGTTTCTTGCCTTTCACATAATGAAGTCAAGAAAGTTCTCCCATCATTGCTGTTGAGAATGAAAATAATAACTATTACTCCGAGCGAACAAGCATAAACTAACTATGTGCTGATTGGACAAAGAGAAGAGCCTTCTTAAAAATGTCAAGCCAAGTTTCGAGGTGGCAGAGGTAAATATTATTCACTCAGTTATTGTTGCACTTCATATTCCGATACTGAGGAAAACTAAAACATTATCAGATGGTTCAAATTTGTTTAAAAAATTAACATTCCATTTCAAACCGTCGGCAAGACAACATGAGCAAATAACACAGCAAATTAATAAATTTAGATGCAATCTTCGGGAATAAACTACCAGCTTAGGAGATGTAAAAAAAGAGCATTAACGCTTATTTCTCAATTACTCTCTGCTCCAAACACCTTACCAGGCGTGGAGGGAACCACCTTCCATGATTAAAAATCTAGAGCAAAATTTAGGCTCGTAATTTGGACTATCGAACCAACTTGCTCACAAAACACGCAGCTTCTCGACTTTGTAGAGAAAATGTTCTTGAAGTGAAAATTCAGCAAATATAGTTTTGCGCCATTTACTGGACCATAAGCTGACATTACTAGGTTTAATTTCTTTCTCATGGTCACCTAGTTTTTAATCATGGGCTGCATCGCAAGTACAGCGAAGGGCATTGTCGATCGAAGCGCGTGGCTCCCATCTGCCGCCAATGTCTGAGCCACATGTCACACGAATCACACCTCGTAATAGCGCAGGAAATCAGCATCAAGAGGTATCGACGTTGCTCATTCTGCCTCCTAGTCTGCTGTACATAGACGAGGCACCCGGGGCACTTCGTTTCCTTCCCCAACACTGCGCTCTCGTGTCAAATACCGCAGTCGACAGAGTTACCACAAGACTACAAAATAAATACACTTTCACGTCGAGTCACTGAGGGCTGGAGAAACGCACGGCGGGGACCATTATGTTCATGCTCCTAGCTTCGTCATTGGTTCTTCGATTCTGGTCAGGTAATAATACCTAAATCTCACTGGTAGCGGTACGATAACAAGGTGCCCAGGATTCGCCTCGCCTTCGCGTTTCTTGAGCTGGCAGTGACTCGAGCTTTAGCTTACGGGAAATGAAGGCTCTTGCTTCAAACGCGTCTGGGAGTGCGAGGTTCGCTGCGGGAAATAGGAAGTAAGAAAGAAGAAAAATAAACACATGCGCGGACATTTGTGAATGTATCTTTTGTGTGCATGTGAGAACGTTCGTGCGAGTGTGTGCGTGTAAAATAAGTACAATTTAATAAATTGTGACGTGGATATTTATATAACGACCAACTATGTCGCATGTTTGTGTCTCGATTCTCGTGAACCGGAGCCACGGTATGGGAGGGCACGTTGCGATTTGAACGAGCCGAGTGCTACAGACCCTTTGGCTGTTTACAAACATGAACTGCCGCTTGCGTACCAAGCGACTTCCGGTCACAGCGCCTTTCATGAAGCCTGTTGAGCTTGCTTATGTCACCAGTGCTAGAAAGCATAAAGGCTACAGGGATAACAAAGTTAGAGATTTAACCAGGACCTTCAGTTGTACAATAATACATCTTGGAGCAGGCCAGTTGGTTTAGAACGGTACTCGAAACATTTTAACAGATCTCGCACTCCTTCGTTCTTTTGGCGTTCACCTGGAGAATTGGTGGTTTAACGTTTCATCTACATTTCAAGCAGCGGTGGTAAGGTGGGCTTTGTTTATTCTTTTCATAAACCGGATGTTCCCTGCGACGTCAAAGACTGGAGCACCACCTGGTGGCGTTTGCCATAAAAAGGGTCTATTCCAAAAACTGATGCCAGGAGTCAGAATGGACATAAAAATATATATACATTTTTTTGTTATTGTCAGGTAGCATCCGCTCATTAGTGTTTTCCATTTCTTGTGGTCTTATACGACAGGCAAGAACGCCGAATAAATCAGCGACCATGGGTTGGGTAGGAGCGGTGTTTGAAATGAGGACTGAACTGAGCCGTTCGAAGACAATAGTGAAAGAAGCAGACGATGTTTCAAATAACCGCTGGTCTTGCGAGCTGTGGAAGCCGTCTGCATCAAAACCTGCAGATATTTTTAATTTCTTGTTTTCCTCCTTAATTTTAATTTATATAGATTATGTTTGGAGATAATATCATTTGAAAGTAAGTGGCGGAGCCCTCCTAGGTATTAAGCAAAGGCCTAATGTTTTGCCTGATCAAGTAGATTGCGGCACAGGACGCAAACGCTATAACGTTTCAATATAATGCGTAATACAGTTATTGTTTTCACAGGAATTTTTGTATTAGAAATCATTCAGCAAGTCTTGTAGTTGGAGCTTTCTAATTTTTTATTCTGTCCAGAAAACAATTTAATGCTTATTGCCTATTACTACACATCTTAGAAGGACAAAACTCACCAAATCAATCTAGATTAGTTTATCGCAATAAAACACATTAAAGCTTTGCGTGAGAAAATTTCCGATTGTCTGTAAGCATCTTACTTTTTACAGCTGTTTTTTTTTACACTTGTGAAAATATTGTTTCAGGAATGAATTAACAGTAAACACCATCAAAATGACTATATTTCTAAAGTGTTTTAGACGAAAATAGTTTAATGAAGCACTTGACGGACGTCAACGAAAGCTACGAGAAGTCAGATTTTAGAAATATTTATTGAGAATGCAGCGTATTATTGATTTATTTCAATACCCCAAGAGCCTAGAGGCTAGGCAAGAAAGAGGAGACAGGGCGTACATATTATCACGGAAATATATTGAAGAAACAATAAATCTATCAGAGAGCATTAGTCCGGCAAAAGATTATAAAATACCCTTACTTAAGGCCGCTCTAATTGCATTGATAGATAGTATATTTTCTAAATGCGCGGAAAATTGGTTTCATTTAAACTACCTTCTCCGCAAAAAAAAAGTAAATTATAAGCTGGCATCTTAAAATGAGGTATGCTGACTTTAAACCAAAAATCGACACGCACAGAAGCCTAAAAATGGCTAAAAATGCTTTCGTTTTATGCGAAGCGTTAGGACAATTTATTTTAAGAAAGGTACGACCAATGAAGTTTTTGTATAGTCAAGGAGGATCCAAAGACAAAGTCATCTTTAGAGATAAGTTAGAAGCGATGTGGTGACTGCTGCAGTATATTCAACGCACACCCGCCGGCAATATGAAGGTGAACGCCGGACCGTCGACCGGTGCGTGCTATCAGCGCCATCACGCGGCTGCCGTGGCGCTGATAGCACGGACCGGTCGACGGTCCAGCGTTCACCTCCATATCGCCGGCGAGTGTACACCGCGATTTTGCAGAGCTTTCGGGCTAGATCATGCGCTGCGTGGAGGGGATTCAAATTACAGTGGCACATCCCAACTTATGACTAGTTTGTTTTTCCAAATATAATTTTAAGAACACAGAAATGGAAAATATTTATCCGTACATACCTAAGCAGGTAATTAGCGTTAGAAATAACATGATCACTATAAGTTTTCCGTGGCATGTTAGGAGTAGTAATGCGTACACAAAGAAGTCACAATATGTGGTCCATGATTGCAAACTGGCAATGGGGACCTGTTCTGACGAGAAATCTAGATAAGTTTAAGTTCGGTTGTGTTATGAGTCACTTTCCATAGGTTACACAATTAGAGTTAGACTGCCGCACACAAGTCATCTTGAAGACGTTTGGCATCAGGTGACGGTAGGCTACGCAGTCATCGGCAACGATACTAATTGAAGGTAATGCACACGTTGGGTAAGTTGTCTACTTATATAAAAAGGTAAGGAAGGAGCCTTAAAGGGGCGATGAAACGAATTTCAGGTTGGGATGAATGATTTTAAATTGGGACTTTACTAATCGCATATCGTTTAGTTGGCCAAAAGAAAGAGGCTAGAAAGTCAAAGCCAGCTTTTCGGTACGAGCATTTGAAAATATAGCGGACTATTTTGTACCTTCTTGCCTTCAAAAGCTCTCCGCATTTTCACTATGATACATCCGCGGTTCCAAAAGCGCGTCACCGGCGCCAAACTGACGTCAGCAGGGCCCAGCTCACGCGTTGGACACGAGAACTGCGTCACTCGGACGTACGCGCTCGTCCACAATCAATCCGTCGACGTCGACGTTCGTGGCGAATGAGTGTCCTGGCGGAACGCTATGGTGTGCATAAAAAGCACGGTGGAACCTAGGAGTCATCGCACCGGTGCCGAAGGAATGTCACGACCACGTGATTTCACAATTCGCATTTGAGTTGAGGATTAAAGCTAAGGAGGAAAAGGTAGGAAAATCGTTTCATGACCCCTTTAAGACAGACTCATCAAGAACACGAAACAGCAGGCCTAAAGGAAGAATTACCTCCATTAAACGTAACGAGCTGGGACTAATCAGTTGAAAAATATTTCTTCGGGGACAAAACTTAACTATTCGTGTCAAGTTTGCGCATTCTCAACGTCAAGGCTTGCCAAAAATTATATCAAAAGGTTCGCAAAATATAGGAATAAAGCAGTAAATCTGGAAACCATGATCAGGAATGAACGATAGATCTTTAGTGAAAGTCAGAGGCTGATTTTTGGAAGAATGGAAATTTTCAGAAACCTTGTTTTGACGATGCAAACGTCTCACCAAAGCATACAAAACTTAATGCATCGCCCAGTTGTTCTTTTTTTGTTTTCTGGCAGTTGAATTTAGGATGCAGCCATTAGTACAATTCCTAGTGTGAATTGCATTTGTTTAATGGCAATAAGCAACAACTAAACAACTAAAAATGCTCTTTAAAAACTCGGAGGTACGCGGAGTTTTACGCGCACCTCCGACTTTTTAAAGCGCATTTTTAGTTGTTTCTAATGATACGAATGAAACTTTTTAAGCAATATTTTTATTTTCAAAAAGTTAAAAAAGTATAAAAAATTATTACTCCCGTAATTATCACAAATCCTTTGCCTATTCCTAAATTACACATTTCGCAGTTCGTTTGCAGTTTTTCCTTAGTGCTATACATGCTTTTTGTTTTTTTAAATTGTGGATTATTTTAGCCGGTAAACGGTGAATAAAACATTAATTGCTTATTTCGAAAATAAAGCTGTACAAGATCCACAGGTCACTTATTAATAAAGTTAACACTTCTATAAAAACTCATGCATGCATTAAAATGCTGAAAGTGCTAAAAATATGCAGGCCAAACCTTTATTTTTTACCAAATTCTTTGTTGACGTATGAATACACAATAATTTGCGTATTCAGAAACAAATAAAAATGCACTCTTGTAAGAAAAAATGCAAGTGAAAATCACATACTACTTTGGAGTACAAATATGGATGTAAAACTATTTTTAGGGCAGGTGTAGAAAGACATTCTGCACGCACTGCACGTAGCTTAATGAGAGACAGTACTAAGTTTACTCCGTCACAGTGCTTTTGCCATCCAAAATCGGTGTATCATGTAGAAGCGGATATCAGCCACTATTACAGGGGAAAACGTCGCTTTGGAGCTGCTTGTCTGATTCAGTTCAAAGTTCGTTTTTTTTTTTTTTTAAGTATAGAATTTTTAGCGTGTACTTAGTAATTGGCAGCGAGTACCGGTGGTACACCCTTATACTTTCAAAACAAAACATGCGATTTGAACACTGCTATAATGAAAGTTCAAAGAACATTGAAATGTGGATGTGCTACGTCATTTCTGCTACCTCTACGTTTTTTAATATCCCTAAAACTCTCAAAGTCATCTTTTGTAGGTGACATAAGATTCTTGTACAAGTCCACCATCCTTTTGAAAGGCGAGAGGTTCGAATGTCTACGAACATAAAGAAAAACGTTCATACCTCAAGACGCGAGACGGTACACAAATGCTTACGTCTGTTAGCAAACCTGGGAAAGCTACTGCGCCGTTCAATAGTTTGTGCAAAAACAGCATGTGGTGGCTAAGCAAGGAAAGGAACCAAACACGACGAAGCTCGGGCCAAGGCTATTTTTTTATCACCGTCACGCGCTTGTCGCCTTTTAGCCTGCGCACCCGCATCCGATAGACGTCTTTCTCTTTGATGCTTTGTCATCACATGACTCCCCTCCCAACAGACGGAGTCGCCCCAACGAACAGTTTTGTGTTGAAGTCGTGGAGGAAAAGTCGATGGATAGCCGGAAGCTGCCTGCCTCGATGAGCACTGTGTTTCGGCCTCGAAACACAATGTTGGAATTGCGTCGAAGTAGGCTGGTTTGACGCGGTCCGTGGCAACGACTTCTTCTCGTCCGTTAATCTTGATGGTGAAATTTTTTTTTCATTTCTCGCCAGGACAAGATGGGGTCCGGTGTAGGGTGG